AATGCCGCCTCAGCTGGGCAGGGACTGAGGACCACGGTGCCTGCCGCTGGCCGCGCAGTGCACATGGTGAGCACGCAGTAAGCAGCTATTGAAGACATGCTCTCCGGAGGGCAGGGGCACAGCCCTGCAATGCGCTGCCTATGTGGACGCTGACCTATGAGTGTTTGGCAAGCTATCTACCTCTCCTAGCCCCGGATTTTTTTAATCTATAAAAATGGAATTTGGTAAGGAAAACATCATTTACTTTTTAAGGATCAGGGTGGCCTTCCTGACGTGAATTCCTCCCATTTGTATGCTGTTTGTACAGTATCTGGAATCGTGCCACCATTAGAAGTTTATGGGGACCTTTAAAATCTTTCAGAGCCACCCGGCAGTTCATGGAAGCAGCGAGCAGGTTGGACTGTGTTCTGCAGAAATCTCACGGCCACCAGGGGGCACTCACCACCGAGGTCTGGAAAAATCCCTCCTTTTGACTTGGGTCTTTCCGCCTCCTTTTCTCAGCTCATTCGCCTCACCTCTGTTAAAGGAGTTTCCTGATCTAAACTCTCTCCTTCCCATGTGTCCTACCCTTCATTTATACTCTGTCCCTCTGGCTTTGCATCTGACTCTGCACACTTTTCCACAAGGACCCTCAGTTCCTGCACCTGCAGGCTCTTCCCTTCAGCAGCCCCGACCGGTGTTCTGTGACAGCAATTCAGGCTTATCGCCGTAGGGGTCATCTACGCACGATCGGACTATGTACACGTTGCACCACTAAAGAGAAGAAGCATCTCCAAACCCATACCGAGAGGGTGATATCTGCTGTGCAGGTTATCCCAGAGAAAGGTCCCGTCTGGTAAGCCGTAGAAAATGACAGAGCTGCCGTTGGGCAGGTGGGAATGTAGCTGCTGCAGCGTCTGCATGACGTGGGAGTACAGCTTCTCGGGAGTGGTCATTGCGGGGACTGGGTCCCGCTTCCTATTGGTGGGAAAGAAGAATCTCAGTCAATCAAAAGGGTAGATGCACACACCCCCCCGACGGCTTCTGTGGTGTTTGTAAAATATCCCTGGCTTTCTGACTTCCGAGTGGAATCTGACCTCGTCAGGTTGACGTGGTCCAGTACACTTCCTGAGTCCCTCATGGGCCCTCATGGGCTGGGCCAGCCGTGGCTGATTCTGACCTACGAATTGGGAGCAAAAGTGCTGCTTGTCATGTTTGGAGGCGTCGGAGGGCTAGAAGGCTCCTTTTCTCTTCTGTAGGAAGGGTCAGTATTCTAGATTTAAGTCCTCGTACAGTCATGGTGACTTCCGATGGACACGCAGTGTGAGCGAGAAGTAAATCTTGTCTTATGCTATGAACGTTTTAGGGGCTGTTTGTTCCTGTCGCAGAACCTTGCCTAAACTGACTTATACACAGTCCGTGGATCCAGAGGATTTGCTATTGCTTACAATTTATTTGACAATTTGGGATTTGTACTCTCTCTTTAAACTTTTTCATATAGGGGCCAGCAGGTGGCATGATGGTAGAGGTGCTGGACTTCCACATGGCTGACTGTGGTTTGAGTCCTGGACCTGGCATTTTGCTTTCTCACTTTCTCTCTCTCTGGTGGGCACATATGCCCACCAGTGAATTAAACAATAGTGAACTAAACAATAGTAATAATAAATACAATTAAATAAATTAACTCTTTTTAAAAAAAACTCCTCACATATATATATTACTGGGAAAACAGTATCTCACGGAGAAGTGAGGTTACATTATGTGCCCACACTGTGTCTTGTTTCCTTTATCTTTCAGTTTCTACATTAAAAAACATGCATTTCCTGGTAGACTGCTATTCCAGGGAGCACCCACAACAGCATTTGCCAACGAATAGCTCCATTTCACACTCTCTTTCCTCTACACAGTAGTGCTTATGCTCTGTAGAAGATACTCAACTCAACATTTTAAATTATATTTTTTTGAGGGACCAGCAGTTAGCGTAATGGCTATGTCACTGGACTCCCATGTAGTTGACCGCGGTTCGAGTCCTGGACCCTGTGGCTTAAACTCATGCCGGGTGCGTGTGTGTGCGTGCCCAAGATCCCGAGAGGAGAATGGAGGAGAAGGGATTGCGGCGTGGCCATCCCCCCTGGGGGGTGATTTCTCGCTTTCTGTCTCTCTGTCTTTCTCTGTCTGTCTGGCGAGTACACGCGCCCTATAGCAACAACCTCTAAAAAAAATTATATTTTTCTCTTCTTATTTCATAAAACCAAGTAAGACAGAAAAAGTGTTGAAAGTTGTTATAAGAAAGATAGACCCAAATCAAAGTATGTAAGACAAAGTTACAAACCATAAGTAAGTTGAAAGTAGAAAATCTTTAGCCTGTATCAGACATTTATTGAATTTAAGCTGACTGACTTAATTTTCATTTGGCTTGGAAAAAAAGCAGAAGTAAGGAATGATCGAGACTACGTCATTGAGAGTTACAGCGAAACGGGTTTATTTATTAAAAGTTGTGTTTAAAAGGCGAGGCAGGGATGCTACATGCTGTTTTGCTTAATAAATGTCTATTATTGTTCATTTTTTACACAGCTCATTTTTTATCAAGAAATCTTTTTTATTTACTTTATTTTTTATTTTTGTTTGATTGCCAAAGGACATGTGTGTTCACCAGAGAGTTTTTTGAAAGAGGCAGGGAGGGAGAAAGTGCCCCCCAGTGGGGTGCGGTCACACCGCAATTCTTTTTGCCATTCCCCATCTCAGAGCAGTGGGAGTGGGGTGGCGGGGAGCACTTTTGGGGAAATGCTCCCTTTCTATGTCTTTTTTTTTTTTTTGAGAGGTCTTTGCTATAGGGCGCGTGCGCTCACCAGAGAGACAGAGAGAGACAGAGAGACAGAAAGTGAGAAATCATCCCCCAGGGGGGGATGGCCACGCCGCAATCCTTTCTCCTCCATTCTCCTCTCAGGATCTTGGGCACACACACACGCGCCAGGCATGAGTATAAGCCACCGGGTCCAGGACTCGAACCATGATCAACTACATGGGAGTCCAGAGACTTAGACATTATGCTAACTGCAGGTCCCTCCGTTTCTATGTCTTGTGTTATTTGAACTTTTCACAACAGATGTTATTTTGTAATCAGAGAAACAACAAAATAAAACAAATCCCCGTATCATTTTATTCTCCTTTCTAAAGTAAGGAGGGAAAGTTAGATTCCACCTAAACTTCAAGGAGAGGAGCAGCGAAGATTGCTATTTTACATCATTTCTCCTCCACACATTTACTTAGTCAAATAATGTCACCTCCCTGGTCAGCTGCTGTCTAGAAGGTGACAAGGCTGACCACAGGCAGGGGGCCACAGAGGCCAGCTTGTAATGAATGACGTGTCTCTGCAGAGGAGAAGGTGGAGCAGGTGCAGCTCTGGGGTAGCCAGCAGGTGCTCACCGAGGGGGGCACACGCTTCTGAACAACGTAACAGGGTGGGGTAGCCAGCAGGTGCCCACTGGGTGGGGGCACATGCTTCTGTACAATGGAATGAGGTGCCTGGACTTCCCTAGGTGTTGGAGTTTCAGAACCTCAGCATACAGAACTGTGTGCTAAATTGGTATTTTGTATTGCCATGGAAACAATTATACTTTTTTTTTTTTTTTAATAAGAAATCTCCCTAACCTGTAAAAAGTACCCACAAGGACTTGTTACCTACTGGGAGCAGAAGGGTGAGTCTGGGCTTCGGGCTGAATTGCACATGCACTGAAACAGTGGGAGGAATGTTCCAGTTTGTAAAGGGGGTTTGGGCTGCCTTGTGGGTTTGTTCAGACCAAGAGGACTCGGCCAGAGTAAGCAGAATTTGGGGCGAAATGGAAGGCGAGCTGAGGTCCAGTCGCTGGGGAGCCGGGCATGCTCTGCCTTGTCACTTTGTCATTTTGGTACATTCTGCTGATGCCGCCGCACTTCAGCACAAGCAATTAGCTGCACTCAGGCTCTCCAACCACAGAGAGGCAGGATGAGCTAAGATGCAGCTGAGTCCCCCAAACTCCTGATCGAGGGTTATTTCGAGGTATACACGAACTGAGACACACAAAAACCTTCTATACCTACGAAAAGACTCCGCAAATTCAGCAAGCATAGTCAAAACGCTGTATTGCTAAATTAAATAAAAATGGAATCTTTTGTGTTGTTAATGGAACATTCTCCACTCATCTTTTCCTCTTTTGTTAATTGCCAGAGGGTATGTATCACCAGAGAGTGAGAGAGACAGAGACAGAGAAGGAGGGAGGGGGAGAAACAGGCAGAAAGTATCCTATAGTCGGGCATAGTCATGCCACAATTCTTTCTCCATCTCTCCATCCTGTCAGGATGCTGGGTGTGCACACAAATACACCCAGTGTGTTTTTCAAGCCACTGGGGCCAGGATTTGAACTGTGCCTGTGGGACCCAGCTTCCTTAACCACTAAGTGATGAGGCCAACCCTCCTCAGCCATGTTGGCTCCATCGTGCCGAGCTACACAACTCACACACGTGTGAGCCAAATCATGCCGAGCTACACAACTCACACACATGTGAGCCAAAGCAACCAATTCGTTCAAGCCATGGCAAAAGGCCAGTGTGACTCCGGGAGGCCGTAAAAGGGGCCTCTGACTTCTGTTCCTGTCTCCATGCTATTTAATCTGTGTACTGTTTTTCCTCTGGAGATTTTTATTTATGTATTTTATCTTCCATCACTGTGTATCGTTACATCATTACTCACGATCACTAAGACATGGAACCAACTCAAATGTCCACAAACAGACGAATGGATTGAAAAAATGTGGCACATACACCATAACCATGAAAAGCAATGAGAGCCTGGCATTTGATAGAAAGTAGATGGATATGGGGATGTTTTAAGGATTTATTGCTAGTACTTTGGAGACCAAAGAGCTCCAGTGGATTGGGAAATAGCTCCTGGGCTTTTATGACGTCTCCCGAAGATGAACAGGACAGAGCCGAAGGTTCCTATCTTCAACCCAGGAGTCTGGAGTGCCAGGTCCGGTCCTGGCTGCCATCCGGGTGTATCTGCCCAGTCCAGAGCCCCGGCACCTCTCCTCACACCCGGAGAGCGCACCCTAGTCTCCCCGATGGAGAGGGAGGGATCTGGGTACCCGGGTGGCAGGACAGAACTGAGAAAGCTGTCACTCTGGGGAAGACGATGGTGTCGGGACCCCTGACTCGCTCTCGCCCATGTCAGACTTGCGTGGCTGGCCTCGGAACAGAGCACAGTTGCGCCCGAGAGGCCCAGAAGCCTGCGTCATCCTGATTAATGGCATCTGACCATGCAAGCCACGCCTCTTTCCTTGAGAGCAGAGCCGGCCATGACCATTTCCCTGTGGCGGCAGGTCTCACCTGGTCGATGCCGGATAGACGTGCCCCCTCTCCGGGAGCACCGAGAAAGTCCTGAGTGGAAGCCTGGAGGTAGTGGTGGCTGAGGGCTCAGCCTGCACCGCCCGCCGGCCTTGGCGTTTCTGAAACATCCGTGTGATAGACGGAGCCCTCTCCTGTGCCCGCCTGCCGTGATCACAGACGCGGTCCATCCAGCCCCTCGTAGATGCATCTCAACCCAGACCAGGAGTGGGAGGGAACTGGCCGGGCTCAAGTTAGCTCACGCGGATCGGTTTGAAGCCTCTTACAGGTGGTGTGACCTGGAGCAGGCTGGCTGGCAGGAGAGTTTCTCATCATTCCCTCGGCCACTCAGCTCTGACAGGGATTCTGGGAGCCAGGGCTCCTCTGAGCAGCAGGAGCTCTGTCCACTCCGTCTGCTCATTTTCCTGCCACGTGGACAGAGAGTATGGATGGCTGCACCTGCTTCAGGCTCCTTGCGGCTTGTGCCCTGTCTGCACCTTGCCTGGCCTCCTGCCCTGGGATGACACGGAGCCCGGGCATGCAGGAGAATAGCTGTGGGGGTGGGGAGGGGAAGGGCAACCTGAGTGGCTGGTCCCGGCTCGCTCCACTAGGTGAAATGTGTCCCTTAGAATGTCTGTGTTCACTGTGAAACGTGGAACCGTCATTTGCGGGGGTTGTGTGAGATGCTTGTACAAGTTTATCATCTTTCTAGTAAACGCATTGTACTTTTTTGGGGTGTCATGCTGGGGTGTCGGAATGGTCGTCATTGGCCTTAGGAATTCGACCCTCCGAGACCATTCCTATTTTCTGTCACTGCCACCCAAAGCTTCTACTGCTGCAGCTTTTGCCTGTTTTCTTTTGCCCATTTGCCCCATTTTCGGCAAGTTTTAAACTTCGATGTCACCGACATTATGTAGCTTTCGAGGGCAATGATAGGGAGGAGCCCAGAAGCTGAGTAAGAGCAGGTCCAACAGAGGGCGGTAAGGAGGAAGCCGGGTTCACCTCTCTCACCTTCGAAGACCACCTGCCTGTCATGGCTTTTGTTCACGCGACAAGCGTTTGAGAAGCCCCCCAAGTTCAGAGATGGGGAAGAGGCATGTAACCGCATTATTTTAGTAACAGCCGTCATCAGCTCAAAGAGAGAAAAGGAAACAGCCGAAACCTCCAGGACCGACTTACGCAACGCCTTGCTGGCTCGAGCTATTTCTGAACCCTTTGCTCACTTTGGGATTTTTGCTCCACCTTGACACTCCTGGCAGATGGGGAGGCATGGTCGCCATCTGTCTGTGTTTTTCTAACCCCGCCACGGGACTGCAGAGTGAGAACGCAGGGACAGCCCATGCTGCCAACTCCATCTCTCACCCAAATGCCCGGACCCCCGGCGGGGAGGCTGGCACAGGCCTCTGGCTGATGTCACTGCCCTTCGGCTCTTTGGAACAGAAAAGCAAGCCGGGCAGAAGGGGCCTCTGGGTCGGCGGGTTGTTCTGGAAAAGCACAGCTAGCAGGATTTGGGTTTGCAGTCAGCACCTCTTCCTGCAGGTGCTTTTACTCTGCCTTGCTGCTTTGCTCTGGGAAGACAGTCTGGGGGCTGGAGGCACCCTGGCAGCCCTGGCAGTGGCTGCACTCACGCCGAGCAGGGGCTGCGTGCAAGGCTCCATAAACGTCCTCCCATCGACTCTAGAGGCTGCAATGTCGGCCCCAGCCCGGCGTGGTGCAGGCACGTCGCCCGTGCTCGATGTACTTCAAGTCAGGTTCACAGATGAGAGCGCATGGCGGGGCACGGCGGGGCACGGCGGGGCAGTGAAACATGACGCTCCTCGAGGCAGACCCACATGGGAACGTTGCCAGTTCACGTGCGGCGGCTGTCCTGAGTATACCAGGCACACGTGTGCCCATGGCCACACGTGTGCCTACGGCCGGGGCCGAGTGCAATGGCAGGCACCCCACCTCTTCTGTATTCCTGTGATTACTCAGATTTAACTCCAAAAACTGGGAAAAAATATATAGTCCACCAGATGACCAGAAACCATCTCTAATGGGAAAGAATAACTCCTCTTCTTCCACAAAGAATGTAAGGGAACTCACGGAAATGTCAGATAAAGAATTTAAAATATTTGGGACCAACAGTTGGTGTAATGGCTATGTTGCTGGACTCCCATGTAGTCGACCATGGTTTGAGTCCCAGACCTGGTGGCTTAAACTCACATCAGCAGTGTGTGCGTGCATGTCCAAGATCCTGAGAAGAGAATAGAGGAGAAGGAATTGTGGCGTGGCCATTCTCCCTGGGGGATGATTTCTCGCTTTCTGTCTCTCTGTCTCTCTCTGTCTTTCTGGCGAGTGCCCATGCCCTATAGCAAAAAACTCTTGAAAAGAAAAAAAAAGAATTTAAAATATTTATAGTGACAAAGCTAACAGAGATGCAACAGAAGAGAGACAATGAACTCTACAAGATTCAGGAGGAAAGAGACACCGAGTTTCAGGAGGTGAGGAAGTTCTTGCATGATCTCGAAGAGGAAATACACATCATAATAAAGAATCAAATGGAATTGTCAGAGATGAAGGCTATAATACAGAAAATCAAAACTTCTGCTGAAAATATCAAAAGCAGACTAGTTCATGCAGAAGACTGAATCTCAGGTGTAAAAGACAGAATCACTGGATTAGAAAAATCCACCATGGAGACTGAGAAAATAGCCCCCCAAATGAGAATAATACATGAGAAATACTAGAAACCATTAAACGTCCAAACATCCAGATAATCAGTATTTCAGAAGGTGAAGAGACTAATAAGGGCATGATAAAATCCTGGAAGAAAACTTTTCAAACCTAGAGAGACACTCAAATATCCAGACCCAAGAAATACAAAGGACCTCACATAGAATTGACCCAAGAAGATCTTCCCTGAGGCACATCATAGCCAGAATGACCAAAACCGCAGACAGAGGCAAGATACTGAAACTGGCAAGAGAGAAACGTCAAGTTACTTCCAAAGGATATCCCATAAGGCTAACGTCGAACCTCCCATCAGAAACAATGTGAGCAAGGAAACGATAGGAAAATATATTCAAAGTGTTAAGTGGAAAACAATTTCAACCAAGAATACTATACCCAGCAAGACTATCTTTCATATGGGGAAAAAAAGACAAAAACATTCTCAGATATACAAAACCTGAAAAAATTTACCAACACCAGACTAGCTCTCCAGAAGCACTGAAGGGAGTGCTATGCCAGGAAAACTAAAGTCAGACACACGGAAAAAAGAATACAAGAAACAACCAAGAGAATTGTCAGCCTAATGAGAGGGACAAGTCCAGAGTTGAGTGTTAACTTCCAGAGTTTAAATGGAAAGATCAGACCACAGTAACACTGCAAATTCAATAGAGAGATTAATTACATCACTCTGAACTAGTAAAATAGATTTTTTTTAACTTCAGACTAAAACTTTACTGATTTTCTTCTATGCTTTGATTTCCATATTTAAGGATTTTTGTCTTCTCTTGAACTGCTGATAGGTTCATCTACCTATTATTTGAAATGAATCCTAACCTTTTTCCCGGCTTTAAATTTTAAGCAAATTTCTCTTAACATTTTTTGATTTTGATCTATTAAAACTAAAACTTTTTTTTGAAATTAAAAAATGCATTAAAAATACCTATTAATACCTATTTAATGACTGCAGTAAAGTGTATAGCGCCAGGGAGGTGCTATTTTATAGCATGTTCACTTTACTCACTGAGGTTTATGCCTAAAGTCAGACATGCGTTCATACATATTTATGTATCAGCTGTGCTCGCTATTGAAAGTCTTTAAATTAATTAAGATACTTAGCAAATCAATAAAATGTGAAAAAAAAGGTATGGAAAACAACTGTACATACCAGAGACAGTGTGGGACAAGTGTGTGTGTGTGTGGGGAATTGGCAGAGGTAGAGGTAGGGAATCGAGGAGGGGAAAAAAAGCAAAATATATAAGAAACAAGAAATAGAAAAGTATCTGTTGATGAAACGTGTCTGGTAATATACTTGACTGAGCCAATATACAATGTATACTGGATGGAAAATCTGATTTTGTATACTCTATTGGCGTACAGTGAATGACTGTAAATAAATAAAGGAAGACAAGTGGAAATGGAAAATATTTATAAAAGTAGATATGGCCTAAAGAACACAGTAATACTGGTCAACTAGTATTATTGACCTGTCACTGACTCTGAATCCTGAACTCATCTCTCACCTCTTCAAGTACATGCAAACTGACCCTACCCTAAAGTACAAGGACACGTCCGTACATCCTGAAGAGCCAAAAAAAAAAAAGCAAATAACATTCTCCCAACAGAATTCATTCATAAACTTATTTTTAAAGAGTTATTTTGTTTAATATAATTAATTTATTTATTTTAATTTGACCAGAGTGGGGCAGAGTGAGAGAGAGACGGAGGGAAAGTGAGAAAGCAAGCTGCTAGATCTGGGACTTGAACCATGGGTGGCTATGTGGGAGCCCAGTGCCCTTAGCCACCATGCCCCCTATAAACTTATTTTTAAAATGTAGTCACCTTTTTACTAGGAAATTAAAATTATACATTGAAATAATTGAAAAATAAGATAAGTGAGTCAGGTGATTTTACAGGGTAACAGTGACTGCCTTATTTTACTTAAAGGGCCACATTCTTAATCTTGAACTCCTGGCTCGTAGCATATTTCTTGTGATATAGCTCATAGCTGGTCATGACACACCTGTTCGTTGTGATGTCTGAGCTGGAATTAATGGATTAGACATTTTTAAAAGGGTCTTTTATTTTTGTCGGTTGGTTCTTTGGATTGCACATGTGTCTAGGACTTGCTTTTAAGGTACCGTTCAGTACCGTAGTAGTAGTAGTAGTAGTAGTTTCGTATACTCAATTCTGTGATCAGGATGAGCTTCAGATTCTAAATGCTCTCGGGAACTAGCAGTTAGCATAATGGCTATGTCGCTGGACTCCCACGTAGTCGACCACAGTTCGCATCCTGGACCCGGTGGCTTAAAACTCACGGCAGGCGCGTGTGCGTGCGTGCCCAAGATCCCAAGAGGAGAATGGAGGAGAAAGGATTGCGGTATGGCCATCCCCTCTCAGGGGTGAGTTCTCGCTTTCTGTCTCTCTGTCTCTCTGTCTGTCTGGCGAGTGCACACACACTATAGTGAAAACCTCTCAAAAAAGAAAAAAAAAAACACAAAGATTCTAAATACTCTCTAATCGCAGCCCTACGGGCCATCGCCCAATTTCATATGAAGTCGCCCTAGGCATTATTTTGTTATCTGTCCTACCCATGAGTGGATCGCTCATACTCTCCACCCTAATTACAACACAAGAATACATGTGACTAATTTACCATCATGACCTTTAGCCATAACACGCTCTATCTCCACTCCAGCTGAGACTAACCAAGCACACTCGACCTAATGACAACGCTGTGAAGGGATGGGTTGTATGGGCCGTGGTGCGGGGAGGGAGCCAGAGCCAGGGAGCGGTGGCGACCTTCCCCGGAGACTCACCCATTGCAGACGTCATTCCCGATCATGGCGTATATGACGACAGCCGGATGGTCCCACAGTTTGCTCCTAGACAAGCTGAGAAGCCAAAGATGCAATCCAAACGTCAGACACCAGGAAGCCCTGCTTTGGAACACGTGGCACAGGCTGGGCGTGTGAAAAGGCCTTGCTATGGCCACCCTCTGGGCACAAGCTCGAAGCTCGTCGCTGCCTTTCATCTTCCCGATGTAGCCAACCACCAGTGACGTTTCCCCTTTCGCTGTAATTTTAACTCCTGTCCCCACCAGGGAAAGGCCACGTGAATGCGAAGGACTGAGAAAAGTGGGTTGAAGTCCTGCTAAACGGCTACACGGCCATCTCGGCGTCTTTCACGGCTTTGTCCCAGCAAGCACAGGTGAGTGACGGTCACTCGGCCCCAGTGTGGAAGGCATCGGCAGCCGTGGCCTTCTGGTGACCTTGAGAAGCCAGGGTAGTTTGCGGCTCCCGCCAGGGCAGCTAGACCCTGCTTCTGGGTTTTAAGCCCAAAATGAGCACCAAATTGTTTTCTCATCGATGAAGCAGGAAAATGACGTAATCCATTTGCCTCTTCAGTTACTTCTGTCAGACCTCAGTTTACTGACTAGCATGCATTTTCATCTCCCTTCTTTGAGGACATATGCAAATTAACCTCTTCCCTGCTCACAGGCCCAGGAAGGCAGTCTTGTGTTGGATGTGACTACCAAGTCACTGATGCTCAGTGAGAACGATCACAGGGCACCGGCGGAGTTTCCGGCCCTCCTTTCTTTACTTTGCTTTCTCTTTCTTTTTTTTTTAGAGAGATTTTTGCTACAGGGCACTTGTGCTCACCAGAGACAGGGAGGGACGAAGAGAAAGAAAGTGGAAAATCACCCCCAGGAGGGATGGCCACGCTACAGTCCCCTTTCCTCCATTCTCCTCTCGAGATTTTGGGGTTTGGGGCATGCATGCACACACGCCCAGCGTGAGTTTCAAGTTTAGGGTCTGGGGCCAGAGCTGCAGTCGGCCATGTGGGAGTCCAGCCCCTTAACCACTATACTGCCTGGGGCCCCTTTAATTCCTTTTCAAAATGAGAAACCAAATTTAAAAACTTTATATTCACTTTTCACTTACCTTTCTATAAATTGCTTCAGGTTCTGGGAAGATGCACCTGAATAATTCAGATTAAGAAAATAATTAAAGTTAGTGGGTTCAACCTGACACTCTTGGTGCGGGAGTCCAGGTGACTGAACTCTCGGAGGAAGCGTTACCGTGCAGCCAAAGGTGGCCCCGACCATACGCTGGGGGAAACAGCTTACTTCCGGTTATTTTGATCCTGGAAACCTTAATGGGTCTTCTCACTTACTCGGCACTATATTAAAATAACCCAAATTCTTTTTAATTTATGTGCCTCGGTACATTTCCTCAGCGTGCACGAGTGCACTTTCTTATATATGTCACCAAAGAGCAAAACTACACGGGATATTGAGGAACATGCTGAAGGCTCAAGGACAGGGGAAAGGGCTCTCCGAGGACTACACATGGCCCCGAGAGCCCCCGTCCTCTCCTTCGGATGTTCCTGGTCACTCCCGAGGCTCCTTCTTGCTGCCTGGTGGGTGCCAGGTTCGAACCGCAGAGGTGACGTTTGTCAACCTCCGTAATGTCTGCTGGACCACCCTCTGGTCCTCTGTCAGCCCCTGCTCTGGTCTGCCGTGTAGACGGTGGTACACACCCACCTGTGTACCGCCTCTGTGCCGTTTATTAGGTCAGATACACAACTGAGTGCTGGGAGTGATTCTGAATACACATTAGTGCAAATGTAACCTCAAAGATGAAAAAAAAACCAAGACCCCAAACACGATTGAGGCCTATGCTGGAGGAAGGGGCCTCGTTTCACAGCGCTGAGCCCTCAATGTAGACTCGCAGTGTTTCTGGGTGTCCTCCAGAGGCAATGCGAGTGTGGCCCTGGTACCTGTGCACTGTCCTGCGGGGCGCACTTGCGGCCGGCTCTTCCTCCTTTCCAACCCCGTGGATTGCGAGATGCTCAGCATCTTGCTATTGGTAGGCTAATAAACCAGAAGGTGTTTAATTTTCACTCTTTTGATTTTTTTAAATGAGAAATGAAAACTAATGAAAGCTCAAGCCACGAGTGGAAAAAAATTAAAGGACTAAATCAAATCAATACTTTTTCTCATTGTCCAGAGTTCGGCTGGGAATTTGAGGTGCAGAGCACCCACAAGGCTGGAGGAAGAGGAGATGACAGGCTGCCATCGTCTGCCACCTGCCCACCACCACCTCTGTCCCTCTGCCCCTCAGAAGGAGGATGGCAGACCGATGACAACTGGCTGGCAGATTAAATAAAGAAGCATCACAAACAGCCACCCTGGAAGTGAGGAGCTGCCTGTCCCCACTTTCCCTAGTAGGCTTCCGTACCACCAGCACAGAATTCTCCCTGTCCAAATCCTCACGCATCCCATGCCGTCTGCTTCCTTTTGGAAACCTGGGCTTTGAAACTACAGACCACAGCCCAGCCCAGCCCGTACTGCTGAGTCAGTCGTCAGTCCTCCTACTAAGTCTGGGACTGGTTGATACAATATGTAATTATGTCGTCCTCTGGAATATATTATTTATTTTTAAGAGTTCTTTTTTTTTTTTTTTGCTATAGGGCAAGTGTGCTCACCAGAGAGACAGAAGACGAGAGATCACGCCCCAGGAGGACAGCCAGACTGCAATCCCTTCTGCTCTATTTGCCTCCTAGGGTTTTGGGGACATGTGCACACACACCTGGCATGAGTTTTAAGCCTCCAGGCTCAGGACTTGAACCTTGGTCAACTATATGGGAGTCCAGTGATGTAACAATTACACCATCTGCTGGTCCCATGTTAATGGTTTCCTAAATGAGCTTGTAACTTTTAGTGCCTGGCCAGAGTAGATCAAGTCTTAAGTTCTTCATGGAAAGAGAGGATACATTTAGGTGTAAAAGGTCCTCATAATTAAGTCAGCTGTATTGAGCGCTCACTACATACCAGGCATTATAACAGGTGCTGAGCACATGTGGGTAAACAGAAAACACACGATCCCTTTCTGAAGAAGCTTGCAGTTGTTAAACAAGTAATGAACAGAAAGTGTCAGGGGTTCAGCAAACCCCCGAAAAAATGGTGTGAAGCTGAGTCCTAGAAGAAATGCAGCGATTCCATTTTTCTGAAGTCTTAAGAACTTGTTAATTAATTCCCAGTAAAAATTCCTGATGCTGTTTACACACTGCTCACAGATCCCTGGCTTAATGCTATTGTCTGCAAAGACACGCAAACCGCCAGATTGTGGAAATTCTGAAGCTTACACAATTTGCAGGATTTTCTTTAAGAAAAAGAACCAAACAAGACTTTATGTTAAAGGGAAGGGAGAATGTTAAGAGACAGTGGTCTTGGGGGCTGGCAGGTGGTGTGATGGTTCAGGTGCTGGACTCCCACATGGCCTACTGTAGTTCGAGTCCCAGACCTGGCAGCTTGCTTTCTCACTTTCCTCTCTCTACATGTGTGTCTCTGGTCAAATTAAAAATAAATGAATAATTATTTTTTTAAAAAAGAGACAGAGGGGGGAAAAAGTGACAGAGGTCTTAACCAATTGTGGTTAAATATTTTATATTTACACATTTCACAAATATAGGAGAACTTTTAAAAGTTCATGGGAAAATGGAATTAAAATTTATTTAATTTGGTGCATTTATTTTGGTGCAAAAAAAGTGCAATTCATACATAACTTTTTCATAATACACATTTCCCATGAACTTTTGGAAGACCCCTTGTTCACACGGTCACCAGGTAAGCGAGGGGTCTCAAGCACCAGCACATCAGCTTCGCTCCTGCATCTGGCCCTTCTGAGAGTCACAGGGCATCAGGGACGTCAGCCCTGGGTGGGTCCCACCTGGTCAGGTGGCCCGTTTTACAGATGAGTCTCACAGAGTGAGAGACTTGCTCAAGGTCTATAGTCAGTAGGCAGTGTCTCAACTAATCGTCCACCTCAGAGAGCACTTTAAGGTCATGATGCCTGTGGTACAGGCACGGATGATGATTAATAAGAGATTATTTTAGTTCTTATATGGGAATCTGTGAATTCCATTATTTAGCTCTGTGTAAGAGTTTGGGGAAAAGAACCAAGTGCGTTTTAGTTCGTCAACTACAAATCCATTAAAACAAACCACGAAGTGACCTTAACCAGTGGTCTAAGCCGAACAGGACAAGCTCAAGACTCTGTGGGGCCTTCATGGGCAACTGGCATAGAAAGAGCAGCCACAACTCAGTCCTGGTGGGGT